CACACACACACACATGCACACACATGCACACACACACACACGCACACACACACATGCACACACACATGCACGCGCACACACACATGCACACACACATGCACACACACACACATGCACACACACACATACGCGCACACACACACACCATGTAGTTCTTCAGCTCACTTTGCACTCTTGGCCCTTTCCCACCCAGCATTTAGCCTCCTTCCTGTGCCAGTGATAGGGGCATTTCCCCAAACCCTGGAAAGCTCAGGGTCTAGGGCTGCAGCTCATCCTATCCTAGAACATACATGGGCTTGAGATCAAGTAGTAGAGGGCAAGCTCAGCCCCCTCCAGTACAGGGGGCAGGGATGAGGGTGTTGTTATGGCCAAGAGGCTCCCCAGAGGAAATGTGTGCAGCTGGAGGATAGGTAGGGACAAGAGAAGCCCCTTCAGTGCTTCTGTTCAGTCCCAGCCATAGGGCAGGGCAGGGAAGGGCAGGGCTGGGAATGTGTGTGCGTGCATGGTGTTATCATAGAGGAAATCGATGCCTGGCACTGGCCCAGTGTTTAAGGGAAATGAATAGATTTTGGCCGAGGACAAAGAGAGTTTGATTAATCAGAAATTGGATAATGGCGGCAACACTCTAATTATTTTTCTTCCCGGCATTTTATGGAGAAATATGTTTACACAGCATATCAGAGGTAATGGAGTGGGTGCGGGGGGCTGCCATACTTAAGAGGGAAAGTCTAGCTTGGGGACAGGCCGCTTGGACCCACACTAGCATTGATGGATGGTAAGGGTGCTGGTAACCAGTCCAGAGAGCCACAGGAAGCAGGAAAGGTAGATGGGACATGCCTGAGATGACACACAGCTAGAACAGCTAAGGCTACAGAGGACATGCCATACAGAGTGGAGCAGGAGAGAGGAAAGAAGTATAGGACAGTCAATCAACACAAAGCCCCCACCCTAATCTAGAGACTGCTGCTTCCCTGGCTCACCACCTCCCTCCCTTTCATCCAACTCCATAATAGCACAGGAGCAAAAGAGCAAATGCCACCAGCTCAAGTCAAGCTGCTTCTCCCACGAGGATCTCAGGCCTTGCTGGAGCCGGCACCATAAGAGGTGCTGAGGGGTCTAGATCTTCAAACCTGCATCAAAGAGGGTCTCCAGAGATCACCCACCTCCGCAGTGTGCAGGATATTCTCATTTTGAAGGCTGATGGATCATTCCATGGCCCACGTCAGATAGGAGCATTGGGTCCCCCCATAGGACAAAAAGCCTATAACTCACATACCACATTTCTCCCTATTCCCTCTTCCCATGCTGCCCACACTCGACACAGCTTAGTACCTCCTTTCATTGTCACCTGATCCATATAGACAGGTAGCATTCTTGGGGATCCATTTTGGAACAAAACCCTATATGAACTTTATGTCTAGGAATAGGCTCTCAACCTTGCTAAGCGGTTGAGACTCTGCCTTTTTTTCTTCACTAGTTAATTCATTTATTCTGTGTACAGAGATTGTCATGGGCCAGGCAGGAGGCAAGGAATCAGCTAAGAGGAGAAGAGTCAACAAATAATGATCTGAGCTGCTCATAAACTCCATATGTCAGCTGGGGAAGCACTGAGGATGGAGCACTGGAAATCCTCATCTAGTATGGGGTCAGGGGCACTGTTCCCACGGAAGGAGAGATAGGGATGAGATAGGGCAACACTCAAGTTGCCTCTCTCAGGGGTGTGGCACGAGAAAGGAAAGGGCCAGATGCAAAAGGTTCAAGACTGGCCAGCTGCTGGCAAGCATGTCTTAACCCTGACTCCTGGACCTGCTAAAGACATCATAATCAACCATGCTATGCTTCCTCTCTGAGCTACAATATACCCTTAGAATCCTCTTCAGCACTGTGCTTTAGGCAGCCACTCCAAGTTTGGAATAGAAAGTAAAAACTTCTTATTCAGTACCCCTGACTCAGCCAGAGCCGTCATGTTAAGGGTGAGGTAGGCTGGGAGTGCATCTCAGTTGTAGACCACTTGCCTAACATGGGTGAGGCTCTGAGTTTCACACTTAGCACTGTATAAATACATACATACACATATGCATGCATGTATGCATGCTTACCAAACAATAAAGTTGAGGAAATCAAGGCTTACAAAGTAAAAAGATTTACCAGGTTCACCTTTATAGGTAGACCCAGATCCGGACAGGCTGCTCCTTGTCCTAGGGAGCAAGATCCATGAGCATCTGGAAAGGCCACTCTGCTATCACCATTTTCCTTTATTTCTAGCAGAGTCTTGTCTCATGTTCTTAGTATACTTTCCTATGGACAAACCTCTGTATGTCATAACTATGTGAATCTTCCCCACATTTGACCAAGTCCTGGATGAGGCACATCACATCACTGAAGGTGACACCAGGTATCAGCCTGAATCATCCAATTCAGTGGAAGAAGACAGACAATCCTCTCACCTCGGTTGACAAGTGCACCATGGTTGAGCCAGATGGGACCCAGTTTGTGGATGGCTTGTGTTGTGTAATCAACCCAAGGTGCCCATCCTATACTGTTCAGACAGGATGAATGGGGGCATGTCTGCTTGGGAGTGCTTGCTCACTGTCCACAAGGACTTCCTGGACATATCCTGGGAGGCAAGCGGAGCAAAATTCTTGCCTCACAGAGCTTACACTGAAGCCCAGAAGACAAAAGAAAACACAATAATTAAATAAAATATGGAGCATATAGACTACGACAAGTGCCAAGGGGAAAGAAAGCATTCGGAAGGGACACTGGAGAATGTAGGGGGCACAGGCATTATTACAGACAGGCCCCAACAAGCCTCAAGTGGGCATGAGGTTGAGGATCTAGAGACTCCTTTTATGTGGCAATATCTGAGAAGGAGTAGCAGCTGCAAGACCCAGCTGGTTTTGTGGAGAAAAAAACCAGAGCAGCTGGAGGACAATAATTTTAGGCAAAAACCAAGCATGTGCAAAGATGGCAAGTTCCCATGCCACCTCCACTAAGGACCTGACCTGGCAGCAAGCTCCCAGTCACCAGCCTAGTGTTAGCGTAGAAGGGAACTTGTAGCCTATGAGCTTCTGTTCTCACTTTATAAAGAAAAGAAAACAGAGGCCCAAAGAGGTGTATATAGCATCAGTCCAAGGGGACTGGTTGCAGGACCTGAACAAGTCCCTAAGCTGCCTCTCCGAGGGGTGGATTGAGAATGGATCAGGCTGGAAGGAGGTGGCCTATGTGGAACATGCCAGGGCCCAAGAGCTGGAAGCACTGCCATGTTGGCTCTGGCTCAGGTCTTACCAGGCCTCCTCCACCATCCTCCTCATGACCAACTAGGCAATGGAGCCAGGCTGTGCAGAAGGAGGCTGGGCCACCTCAAGGTGCTGAGAACCCTCAGGTTCCTGGACATCTACAGTCTTTGTCCTTGTGCTGGCAGCTCTAGTGGTGAGAAGATGAGATGAGCACTGGCCTGCTGGAAGCACTTGGCTATGAAATCCAGGACAGATTTTCTGTGCCTCATGCCATTGAGAACACCTATATCTGTCTCTGGAAAAGCATGCACACAGTCCGTTACTCCACCCTCCCAACATTTTGAGGGATTTTGGATTTCATGACTCACAGAGGAAGCCTCAACAAGGTGGTAAAAGGACTCAGACCTGGCCCCACTGAGGAACCTTGTCTTGGCAGCTCTCTACCCCAGGAGCAAGGGTCTGAAAAGTTCTCTCTGACCACTGTGCCCCCACCCCCAGCATGGCCATGACCATAAGAGACCAGGCTGAACTCTCAGGTTTAGGCCATGTTTCTGGTTTAAGGCTGATAGGAGAAACAGCAAGTTGCCACTGTTTGTAAGGCCCCTCCCTGCACTGTGGCTTTTAACAGTCTAGTTCTTAGCACTGTTCAATGAATTCTCCAGGGATATCTCTAAAAGAGAGTTATACCTTAATTTAGAAGCAAATAACTCAAAACTCCGTGATGAAGCAGACGCCTGTGGAAAAGAGATGAACTCAAGGAAGCCATTGTGTGCAGATGCCAGCCGTGCTCACACAAGGTCTGCTTCTGGCCGACTTCCAGATGTGCTACTTGCTGACCAAGGGGCTGCTAGCTTCTGGGGATGTACAAACAGAGGGGGAAGAGGTGATTCTTCCCCATCTGCAGGCGATTCTTCACTTACTTTGTGACTTTGGGCTCCTGGACAGGGAGGCTAGGGCAAGAATCGCAGGCTGGGTTTGACTGGTCCCAATCCATGTGGCCACTCAGAGAAAGGAAAGGGAAAGAAAAGGAGTGAGGACACATCATGGCCTTATTAGGCCTTTTCTCTCTACCCACCACAGCCTTAGTACTGTCCCCATGGTCTGTAGGACCAGGCCAGTTTCCCAGGTACACACCTAAGTAGTCATATAGGACCCCACGGTAGGCTTAATGCCCTGTGACATGTCACCATCATGCAATGGATAATAATGTCTTAATAACCCCATAAATTGTGCATCCAGAGCTGCCAATTTGCTCAGTCCCCAGGTACCCATCTGCCCTGGTATTTGTTTCAGGAGACATACCCTCTGGATGCCTTCTTTTCCAGACTCCTGAGAGGCTATCATGAAGGCCCTCTTACTCCACAGGCTTACCAGCCCACAGACTAGCCCAGCACGTTTTGGACGCATCTACTTTTGATACTCAAGTACCCTTAGCCGCTTCTCTCAGACTCTGATGTCAAGGATTCCAGGTTGCTAGCTCTAGCCGCACTCTTCTCTCTCGCCACCACATAGGCCTATATCTACTAGGATCTTAGATCAACTCCTGGTCCTCTGTGTCTCACAAATGAGACCATCCATGTATTCCTCAGCCAGAGCCAAGGCTCTATCCATCACCAGGTCTGATCTACCACTCTTGAAAATGAATCTCTAATTCAGCCACCTCTCATCTCTGCTGTTCCCACCTCACTGTTCATCTTCCTCACCTGAAATGTAACATGGCTATAGATAACTTCAAGTCTTACCTCTAGCTCAGTTTACTCTCTCATATCAACAGAGGTCTTTGTGTAAATGTGTATATATGTCTGTAGGCATATATGTATGTATGTACATATGTATGTATGTATGTATGCATGCCTGCATGCATACATTTGATTTATTTTAGGTGCAGGGTGGGGGTGGGGTAAGAACCCAAGGCCTCACCCCTTCTAGGCAATTACTCTACCATTGAGCTATACTCTAAGCCCAGCAGAGCTCTTTTGAAAAGCATAAATTAGTTCAAATCTCCCCTTTGCTCTAAACAGGTCTTCCTACCTATCTCACTGGAAGTAGGAATCCTTCCCAGACAACCTACCAACAACCCTACACTGGGCTCCAGTCATCTGGCTTTTCCCTCCCTCCCTCCCTCTCTCCCTCCCTCCCTCTCTCTCTCCCTCCCTTCCTTCCTTCTCTCTTGCTCTCTCTGTCTCCTCCCCGCCCGCCCCCCCCACCTCTCTGACAAGCTCTTGCTATGTAGCTATGTAACTAGGCTGGTCTCAAACTCCCCACCAAGCACTAGTTTATGAGTCTATGACACTATGCCCAGGTTTAGCCACCTGGTCTTCTGGCAGGGCTTCTAGCAGCTCAGCAGTGTTCCCTCAATGCCTCTGCACCTGCTGTGCCCTCCTAGTATGCCTCTTCTTCGAACACAACATAACTTGCCTAGGGCTACTCCACGGCACAGTACTAGTCCCACCTCAGAGACGTCATGTCCTCACCCCTGCTTTTGGTTTCAGTGTTCCACACAGCAAGGTGCTCATCCCCCTGTTCTTGGTTACATGTGTTATTGTCCATATACGAGATGTGAGCCCTAGGAGAGGGCACTGCATCCCTGCCATACCCCTGGGCCAGCATGCAGCAGACACGCGTAAATATTAGCTGAATGAATGAATGAAGGCCTTGTATAAGGTTAGGGTTCTGCTCCTCAGGCTCATAAGAGGGCTGGTGTCAGCTCCAGTGTGCTCCAGGATTGACATGCGGTCCCTGTGGGCTCATTCTTATGAAGAGCTTCCACTGCCATTGTGGACAACACAAGGGGCTAAACACGTGGGAAGGCTGGTGTGGGAGCTAGGCAGGGCACTTATGGCTCTGTTTACAGATAAGGACAAGAAGGCTCTGAGAAGATGGGACTGAATCAAGAGGCAGTGGGATCAGAGCCTGATCCTACTTCTTCTTTATACCTAAATTGGAGTTCTTGTGTCATGAGAAGCTGGGTGCCCCTGTGCCCTTCCCAGTCCACACAGCTGCAGTGTGGCAGCTGTTGGGGACTGACCTTTGGGGTCTGCCCTGATGCCTCTACTTCCCTTCATATTAATTTTAGTCAACATAGGACTCACAGGCTGCCCTTGAGGTTCTACTGTTACCCCAGTTTCCTTCCTTGGGACTTTGGAAGATAGGTACACTAATCTGCCTCCTTCAGAGTTCCCCTTTGCCTGCTGTGGTCAGGGTCTGTGAGCTTGCCTTTATAGGCAGAGTGTTTATGTCTCCCAGGTTGCCTTATCCTAGCTTCCAGGGAAGGAAACCACATGCACAGCTGTCCAAATTCACACACCAGACAACTGAGTGGCTAGGCTGAGGCCATGCTCTGAGTTCAGTTGTGAGAAGGCCTACCACTTTAGCAGCCAAGTCTTTACAATTACCCAGATGTTTGCTAGAATCACCCTAGAAGCTCCTGATGTCCAGACCAAGCCATTTTTTTTTCTTTTGGGAAACAAGTTTGAGAGGCAGAGCACAGAAGAGGAATCTATCTCTGTCTCCAAACCAGAGTCCATAGCAGGCCCCTTGGATGAGTCGAGCGGAAAAACAGACCACATACTCCATGCAGGCAGGCCCTGTTCTTAATACCAGTTCTTGGGCTTTAGCTAAAATGTGTGTAGGTGGGGGAGGGGGGGATACTACCCAAATGAGTAATAAACAGCCCTTTCAAAGACAGAGAGACAGACAGACCCACAGAGCAAAGAAAGATGGGGGAAGGGCAAACCACTCTGTAAGTGAGGGAACAGATCTAGGGCAGAAGGTAACTCCGGCCTTCCAAGGGGGAAGAACTCTGTCTTATTCACCGCCTGTTGCAGAAAATCAACATCTGTTAGAGGAACACACAGGAAGAATTAAACCAAATGCCAGTATCTCATCATTCCAAAGGAGGCACATTGAAGGCACACTGATTCATGCAAACAGGAGCCAGCCCTCTATACCCCCTACTGATCCCTAGGTGCACATTCCTAGGTCATAGTCACAAATCTCAAATACCCACAAGCAAAAGACACAGAATCACTAGCTAAGCATTGTCCCTACACAAATGACTCCTTCCTGGCTTAAAAAGGGGCTGGATAGTTACCTAGAGCATTGGCCCTGCCCAAAGGACAGGGTGCCTGGAATGGCAGCCGGAGATTTCAAGTAACTAGTTCTCTCTGATCTTTAAAGTTCTTTCCCAAGCCCACTTCATTTCAAAAGGTCTCAGAACTGTTCCCCTTTTAGAGATACAAAGGCTGCAGTCTCCATCAGGGCAGACAGCTAACAAGCAATGGGGTCATTCCATTTCCCCAGACCTCCCAGTCCTGTGGAGCCTCCTACCTCCTTTCCTTCCATACCTCTGATTTCTTCTCAAGGAAGCCTAGCATTCCCACGAGAACCAGCTGCCTAAGCTCCTCTTAGTCTCCATCTACTCTCTCCCCTCTGCCTGCAATGCCCACCCCAACCCTGCCAGTGTCCTTCAAGCTCCAGTTCAAATGTCACTGCCCACAGGCAGGTTGGAACCAAGCTGGTGGCAACTCCCAAGTGCCTTGCACTGGGGGTTGGGTTATCTGGGCACAGACAATTCTTCCCTATGGGGAGGTGAGTCAGTCCTGGGAGGGCAGTCTCAGTCCATTCCCACTCTGTCCACCCAAGCAGGGTGTGTGTGTGGGGGGGGGAGGGAAAATATTTGCTTAATTGAATTTGGCAAAGGAGCTTCTTCCAGACAGGGATGAGGGCAGCAGGACTGATCTCCAGGGCACAGAAATCATTTGAGGCAGAAAGGAGCCTGTCAGCTGCTCAGCTGCTTCCCCAAGCCAGACAGACTTCAGTTACCAGGCCAGTCCCTCCACCTGAGACTCAGACTCCAGGGAACCCTACTCTTGTTTGGAACTGCCTTCCCATCCTTTGCTCGGTAATAGGAGTCCCAATTCTCGGCCTAGACAGATTCCTGCCACCGTCACCCAGTCTCAGCACCTCCCAAAAGGCAGAGCCCCTCTGGCATTCACTGCAGGATACCGAACCCCAGTTCTCAGGCCCTCCCTCAAACACCCCCACCGCCTTTTAAGGGAAAAAATATTGAGCTGGGAACATATTACAATCGTACCAGGTCGATACTCCTCTCCTGCTCTAAATGCCTCCTAGGAACCTGCTAGCTCCAAGAGCAATGACCGAAAACTGCGAACTGTCTGTCCCCAGGCCCAGGCCTTCGGGGCCCTCTCCTCCTTTCCGGCCAAGGCCACGCGTTGGCGCTCCGGCCACCCAGGGTCGCCTTCGCCCCTCCATCCCCGGCGGGAGACCCCGCCTTAGCGCCGCTCCTGCAGGTCGTCCGGCCTGGGTTCTGCACCAGAGGCCGCTCTGGGTGCTCAGAGGCCCCGAGAGGCATGCTAGCCGCCCCCTGCCCATCCTCGCAGGCCCACAGTCGCCCCTTCCAGAGGCGTCCTCAGCCCCGCGCGCCTCCCTCCCGCCGGCACCTGTCAGGCCTTCGGCCAACCCCCCCTGCCCACCTGGCAGACAGCCCCGCCCTGCCGGCCCCCCACCCCGGAGGGGCATCCCTGACACTGGTGTCCTCCAAGCCCCGAGAAATCTCGAGCACAAAGGCCCAGGCAGGGCCCCGGGTGGGGGTGGGGTGGCGCCCCGACCGCGCCCCCGACCTCCCGGGGTTCGCCGAGCGCGCCCCGGCTGCAGGTCCGCTCACTCACCTCCCGGCCGCGGCACCGTGCATCTGCCGAGCTGATCTGGGCAGGG